GATGAAGACGATTTCGCCTCGGTTGCAAAGGCGAACAACAATCTCTGTGGCTATTTCATTTGAAAAAAACCCATAACTTCACTTGAGCACTGTTTTCAAAGCACCTGAAGCTGCTAGCTGCCAAATGTATTTTCACCAATGGACGCTTGATAGCGAAGAGTAAAGAAAGTAAGAGTGCTGATACTGTCTTAAACAACTTAGCAAATAACGAAGACCAAAGAGGGACATTAGAGTTATGAATACATTGATCAAATTATAATTTTATTTTGTCTAAATGTAATGGCAGGGAATATTGAAAAAAATAATGTCATCAAACATTCCACTGCATTTCACTGTAGCACTGTATTTATGGCAGTGAATGTTGCACAGAAGGAAGTCATAAAACACCTCACAGCATTTGACCGCAGCACTGCATTAATGGCAGTGGTTGTTGTGTAGTGGTCGACTTGACGCGGACAACTTTCTTGTTTTCTCCCGACACCACTTTTATTACAACTCTTCACGTCACGTCTGTGACTCTTCACGTCACGTCTGTGACTCTTCCCGTCACGTCTGTGACTCTTCACATCACGTCTGTGACTCTTCACACTAAGTCTGGGACTCCGTCATTCCGCTTAGCCGCAGCTCGCTCACCGCCCGTCTCGCTCACTCCGCTTCCTCCCCTATCCCTCACTGTCCCTCTGCGTCGTCCCTGTCTCTCTTCGTCTCTCTTCGTCTCTGCTCGTCTCTGTCTCTCCTTGTCTCTGCTTGTCTCTGCTCGTCTCTACTCTACTGCTAGCCTGTTCTGTCTCCTATGTCTTCGCTCCGGTTCTCCCCGACCTGCTTCGTTCCAGTCCCAGCGACAACAACTCCCCTCGTTCTTCCCGTCTCCCGAATATATCCCCGTTCTCATTACCAGCCAATCAATTAGGCCTCTATTCCCAGACATCCCGGTGCCACTCCGCCCTTGACAACAACCCCAGCCAATCACAGCCGTACATCGCTCTCCAGCTTAATTGGCCCGTCATTACCGCACAGTTTCCCACCGCCACACCTGGCCGGCCCGGCGTAACCCCACTGTCCATAACTCGCGCGTCTTTACCATCCCCCCCCCCCCTCGTATGCGCGTCTTAATCCACTACATCTGCACGCAACTAAGTCATCAAACATCCGACGTAATGTCACAGTAGCACTGTCTTTAACGGACGTTCAATTACTTGCAATTCACTAGCTCTGATAACTTACTAATCTTCCGCTTTCGCTCGCTGGGGGGTTGAAAACAATTGTAATTCGATACAATGTCTGCAAGGCGGCGGAGAAATGTTTATCGTAGCATCATTTGGCAGCGTAAAGTAGACACCTGCCTTTCGTTGGACGTGCCCAGGAAATAAATAAAGGCACCAAATGCACTGTGATGCGGCGTAGAATTATTTATTGCCTTCACTTTCTATAAAGATACGAAAGATACGAAAAATCGAAAGCGAATTTGGATAAAAAAAAATGTTTCATAGCCGCTCGACCTGCGTTAGTAAAAAAATGCAGGCACACGTGAATATTAATTAGGGGGGGGGGGCATGTGGAGTGACGTCACGCGCGCGATACACAGTGTTTTTTTATGTCGTTATATTAGTTGCTGCGCTGATTTATTTATGAGCTTTACTTCCCATAAAGAAACGTCAAAATGGAAGCTAATTTGCGTAAACAAAATTTTTGTTTCCGCTCCACTATACTCTTTGGTTCTTTGGGTAAAGTCACGTTAGGTATAAAATAAAAAAATAAATCACGACGTTTCGGGCGCAACACAAACGTCCGTCCACCTGATGACGGACGCTTGTGTTGTGCCCAAAACGTCGTGATTTATTTCATTTCATACCTAACGTGACTTTACCCAAAGAACCAAAGAGTATGGATTCCTGCAGTCACGAAAGCTTCAAATCAAGATTCCGCTCCACCTTCTTCATGCGGAGTGACGTCACCCGTTCATGATGATTAATGACGGGGGGGGGGGGGTCCATGTGGAGGTCCCCTCTTGTTCATGATTATTAATGAGGGGGGCTGCTCGACGTTGAGTGACGTTAAGCACAGACATTCTTGGCTCATTATATTAGTGATAGCAGGCATGAGTGTTGTATGTTTTTTTTAATCCGGTCTTGCTGTGGTTTTACACCTGATGATGATGATTGCTTGTGTTGCAGTCGAAACGTCGTGAGAATTGTATTGTTTTATATTTTTATTATTTTATTGTTTCCCTTCTACGCGGTGACTTTACCGAAAGAACCAAGAATACCTTTCCACTCTGTTAAAATATGTCCTTGTTTAAATTCCACACTGGCTGAGGTTATGCTGAATTCACGTGACATCCGTGGGCAAACATTTCAATATTTAAAACCACGGAGTGCATTATTCAAAAGCTGACATCGCTAGCGCTTAGCTTCAATCAATATATACAAAGTATAAATATACACTTGCATCCTTGGCCATCGAAGTTTGCTTTAACTTCGCGACCAAAACCATCATCCTGACGAATCGCCTTCACGTGCGTCCGCCAACGCTGCAAAAATACATGTAATAAATAACAGAGGGTGCATATATATCACTTGCCAGTGTGGCAGAAATATAGGCTCTCGATCCATAAATACCTTTTTAAAAAAAACGCCTATAGCCATGGCTTCACCGTGCAAACATCACACTCGTGGCAAACACGCGAGCCCGGCAGAGCCGAGATCTCGTAGTGACAACGGCATGACCCGGCGGGGGTGGGGGGGTGGTGGTCCTATACGGGGACGCGGAGTTAACTTGCACGCTGTTTAAACGTGCGTCTGGAATGTGGGGAAAGAGCACTGTGACGCTTTAATTGAAAACATGAAGAAGGCAATGTGGTGTCGATGACCATTTGTGGAAACGTGAAAAAAAACCCGCGAGGGCACTTTAGGTCAATCCACTGCTGGATGGAAAACTCTCCCGCGCCACGTCGCTTAGTGGAATTATTATTATTGTTGTTGTCGTTGCTGCCCTAGTTTACCCAGGAAAGTCCAAGTCTCATGGATATTTTTCAGGAGGGTCCTGCGAAGTTTTACGCAATGGGGGGGGGGGGGGGGGCCATGTTGCTGCTCCTAAATGGGAAGTTTTTTTGCCAGTATAAAAGTATGAAAAAATAAGATTCGGTTTTGCTGCTCCTCTATGTATTTCAAATTGGGCAATTCGCGGTTGATTTTTTTTCTCTCTCCAAATTTGGACCATGATGCCAGCACACAACGGATGTTTAACGTTCACTGTGAAGCATCCGACGTGCATCGTTATGGCTAATACACCCGCAGCAGCATCCGGGGAAAGGCCGCCGACTCAGAACCGCTGGGGCTCTGCAACAAGCGGTTAGTGCGCTGCCACGAGGCCATTTGACCATTGTGTCTATTATGAGACCTCCTTTGCCAGTAACAATATATAGGAATAGGTTTTACCCTTTTAACTGGCACAAAAAACTGACACCTTTATTCAAGGCATCATGTTTGCAATAACCACAACACAAGCAGTCAAATGCAAATTAAAAGGAGGTCTCATAATGTAAATGCTCACCCCGAGCCCTCAATACTCTGATAGTGCGCTGTTTTTGAGTTGTACGGCTTTTGGCGTCTTCTGATCCAACACCAATGGAGACTAGGCTCTAAGAAAAGCCGTCTCGGGTGTTGACCAATCAAATTCAAGGGCAGTGCATATTATTATCAGAGTTGTCTTTTTTGTTTGCATTTTGACTGCTTGTGTTGTGGTTATTGAAAACATAAAGGCCGTGAATAAAGGTGTCAGTTTTTGTGCCAGTTAAAAGGGTAAAACCTATTCCTATACATTGTGTCTATGTTTGTATATCTGGATGGCTTCATGGACAAATCTTTGGTAATATCCGGGAGGTTAATATCCGGGAGGTTACCAAAGATTTGTCCATGAAGCCATCCAGATATACAAACATAGACACAACTTCAACCGAGAGGATGGTTTTAAATTGAGCAACCATTGCAAAGATGTCATCAACCAAGTCAAATTTAGCTGCCTTATAATTGTACCGCCATTTCCATTTCTTCCAGTTTGTTGCGCCCGTTTTTGAGTACCGCTCGCCATCGCTTCCCCCGAACCCCCTGCAGCATAACAAAAGGCGGCTTATCTTAGCCCCACCCCCCCCCCCCCTCACGGCCCTTCCTGGCTCCTGTATATAATCTCGGGTGTCTTAGAGCTCTCTTCACTTGATACAGCAATTTTGCTGTAACTGTTCCACCTGAAGACGGAAGCTTGTGTTGCCTCCGATGCGTCGCAATTTAATTGAGTTGTTTTCGTTTATTTTATTTTACCTACGTGACTTTACCGAAAAAAAAAACAAAGAGTATGAATCCTTGCAGTCACGAAAGCTTAAAATCTAGAATTATCGGGCAATGGTTTGACAGTCGTGAGAGGGTTTTTCTTTGGCTTAATAGTAACGCAACTTAATTCAAAAAAGGATGTGCATATTGGATCATCCTTACGAGAAATTATCACGAATCCCTCCGTTACATACAGGCAGACGAACAGAGCCGATGCATGAATACCTCCAACCTTAGTTGGAATGCATTCTTTAAAAAATACTTATTTTAAAGATCGTAACGCTCTGTGGCGCAACGCTTTCGTGGTGGGGCCACTCGGTTGACAAGACTTAATAAACCACGTGGGAGCAATGTTGCCAGACACGGATAATCACCTCCCCTTTCTTGTCAATATGCTCGACAGCACCCCCGCCGTAGAAGACGGAGCGATGGAATGAGCTCATGTGCAGGAACAGGGTGGGGTTTTTTTTTTTTTACACAATTCGAGGCTGTGACTGTGAGGAATAACGGTTCGGGGAGGCTGTCATCCAGCAGCGGATGAATCGTGACTGATTATGACGCTGATGATAACGAACTTTAATCACTTGTTGAACATCCTGAGATGCACAGCCGAAATAGGTAAAGTGATAGGCATGTAAAGATTCTCCCCCAACTCCCCTCCCACCACGACCCCCCCCCCCCAGTGCCTCCCACTTGCGACAATCTTAGACTTTGTGATGAATACAATAACCTGTAGTGGTTGCAAGGAGGTCATGGGAACACACTTCGACGAATGGCTGCAATGGTGCAGTCCTCGACACGTCCAACATCACAGATTATCACGCGCATAACTCGACGCTCGTATTGCGAGCGTGAGAGTCGAATGGGGGATCGATGCGTCGTTAGGTGCATCGGGTGCACGCGCGCACGTGAGAGTTGACCAACCGGGGTGGCTGGGCAGCGTCAAGCAGGGCAGCCAAGATGAAGTTAAGTGTAAAGAAAGGCAGCACATGAACAAGCGGCAGCATGAAGGACCGAGAGAAGAAGTGAGAACTTAAGCAGGGTGGCACCAAGTACAAACACGGTCATTGTGAAGAAGATGATTCTGGGAAGAGCAGCGAGAAGAAGGGCAGCAAGGATAGAGCGAAGACGAAGAGCATTCTGGGAAGAGCAGCCAGAAGAAGGCCAGCATAATGGGACCCTGCCTCAGGGTAGCGGGGAGCCGAACACCTCGACGAGAAGGGGCGTGAGGTCGTCAACGACGCCCTCCTTGCGAGAGATCTCCAGGTACTGCTTGGAGTGCTCCTCGTTCAGGTTGCGCAGGTCGGCCAGCTTCTGCACCATCTTGGGGTAGAGGAGGTGGCCGCCCGGCGGCGGGTGGTGGCACGAGATGTAGGTGCGCAGCGTCTCCGAGAGCCGCTCCTGGCAAGCCTCCACGCGGTCACGATCCGTCACGCCCGGACGGTCTGGGTTGACGGTTGGGGGAGGGGGGGGGGTGATGGAGGCAGGAGCAGAGAGAAAGGTCAGCGGTCACAGGGTGATTTGTGCGAAGGTCTTGTGAAAAGTGCAGTTGCACCGCCCGCATGGTATACCCGTTGAGATTGAAAACTTATTTCTTCAAGATGCTTTTTTGTGTTTGGTTTGTCGTCCCCCCCCCCACACCTCCGATTCGCGCGGTCGGCTACGTACGGTGCAAAAGCAGTTCAACATACAACATACATACAAATATACAGATTACCGTTGGAGGATTTGGAGGGCCAACCGCTCCCATGTCACCTCCCCCCCCCCTCCCCCTAATGCGTTTGATGCCACCACACACTCTGCCAGATCCCATTCCAGTTGCACAGTCAACACGTGACCTCCAAACCCTGTACTTGTGATGCGATCCACGGTTGGCTATGTACGGTGCGAAAGAAGTTCAACTTCGGAATCGATGGCTCACGTTGGGCGGTAAAGTCAGAATCAGAATATTTATTTATACTGGCAGGAATCCAATGAGCTATGAAGCTCTTTTTTCACATGTGTCCCACACTGTTTATTTCACAGATGTCCAAAGTGGTGCAGTGGTAATGGCAAGAAGGTCCTGGGTTCGAGTCCCGACTCGGGTGCCTTTCTGCGTGGAGTGTGTATGTTCTCCCCCATATTCTGCTAACATGACCTGCACATAACTCAATTGGGATTAGACGTAGCGACATCACCACTCCCCTACTACAAAAACAACTTGGCAGGATCTTTCTAAATATGAGTCAGTGAGGCCTTCGTGGGTAAACAAGTGGAATAAAACAAATTATTATCTTCGCTTAGTCGACTCGTATAGCAATAAAACAAATTATAAACGTATTTTCACTGACAGTTATCAACACAAAGACCTCCCGTGTAGCTGGCAATGTAGGCTACACAGGAGGTCTTTGTTTCACGAATGTTGCAAATTCGAACTCAGTTGAACCTTTTTTTTCAATCAAATGGTTAATCGGTACCGAACCTTTTCAAAATGACGTGCAACCACTTGCATGCAGTGTTTTCCAGTTGCACTCGCGCCCAAACACATCGCTGTTCGTTTCTTGGCGCCGACAGTTCACGTGGCTTTCAGTGCACGCAAAACGCCCATGTTTGGTTTCTAGCGAAATGCCAGTGCCCATCTGCGGTGCATCGCTCATCGAGGCCACAGCCGTGCCTTCTCCACTTTAACACTGTCCAGACGATGTTCATGCGTTTGTAGTCACATCGGGGATGTCACTGTATGGTGCTGGCCCGGAAGGGTCATGCCGTTCGATGTTCCTACATCGTGGGCAGCACCGTGTGGGTGGCTGTGTGTAACACCAGCCCTAGCAAGGCTTGGCGAGCACTGGGATAGTGCGGGCACCACACACAGCGTGCGGTGGGGGCTCCTCCGAGGGGGAGGGGGTGAGCGTCAGCCCAGGGGCAAGGTTGCCCCAGGCCATGGCACTCTGGTTGACCCGGTAGACACATCATCCGGAATGTCCATACAGGGGGCCCCAGGTGGGGGGACTAGGGGGTGATCACGTGTCCGGAGAGAGCTCTTGAGAAGGATCGAGAGGGAACGAGATTGTTTGGGAAGGCAGGCGGGGCCGAGGACGGAGCTGCCCCGACCGGAGAGGGATATAAGGCGGGTCCCTGAGAGGGACCCGGGGTCTCTCTTCGTTCCACAAGCTGGAAGTTCCGGGTCTCAAGCTGGAAGCGCCTCGTCCTACGGGGGACCACGTGGTCGGAGACCCGAGCAAGGGTCCGACCCTTCGTAGCTGTAACTCCTCTGTATAGTGTAGTTAGCTGGGTGGTCACCACCCTAGGTTGTATCTGGTAAAGGGGCAGTTACCCCTTTGTGTTACGGTGTTCCAAATAAATGTGTTGCCTCTAAAATGGACAACGTCTGCGACTCAGTTGGACTCACTACACGTTGATTGGTAACCGTCCCAATTGGATGCACACCACAGTTTTGTTTCGTCAAAGTGAACTTCTGCGTGGGTGACTGTAATGAAAGGGGCTTGTTTTTTTTAAAACAAGAGTGATGTGCATATTTGCTAAAAATAAAAGAGGATAACTCACGTGATGAATATGATTAATGGTTCATACTAAGTCTGACTAGGGGACTGTGCCTTCAGGGTGACCTCTGTTTGACAGCATACCCCCCTCCCCCCCTAGCCACTGCGATAGGTGCATCCAATAGCAACAGGAAACACATTCAGGGTCAATTATCGAGGTTTTAGTAAAAATCCAACACAACAGCTTTTTTTTTTATTTTAAAGCTTGCCCACTCCTGCACGCATGGTATTTGCATGCTGTGTTTTTCAGTTGAAAGTCGACGCGGTTTTATTTGCCACACGGGGGGCGTGTTGTTGTGCGCAGCGACGGTCTGAATTGTGAATGCTGCTATTGGTGCCACTTTTTGAGAGGGCAGGACTCTCCATTATAGGAATGCTCACACTGGGCAAGTGACGTTACCCTGTGTCGGTGATCGACCCCAGAAGTTTGCAGAAGAACTTCTGAGGTCGGTTCACTCGACCTCTTTGTCTCCACGGTAGGGGACACACATTTTCAAACCCTGCAAAAATTGTTTATTGTTTTGTCGGTCAAACACTATAATATTTATTCTCAGTACTGACTGTTTCTGAATAAAGTGTGCGATGAAATATACATGATTGGTATATCAGCTCGTTTTGCCTGAGTACAGGGCCGCCTAAGATGCGGCAGCAAAAAGGGGAAATGCACCCCAGGGTGGACACAAAATAGAGGGCCCCACAGCGGGGCTCGGTTTTTTGGTCGCCAATGAACAAGGCTCCCTCCCCACCCACGTGGCATTTGGGCCCAGGTCTCCCGCCCCATAGCCACCTCCAGGAATGTTTGTGTGGCCGTGCAGAGGACCCAGGATCTCGGCTATGCCAGCTCAGCTGTCTGACCTCGTGAGCCCCGACTGATCCATTTCCACAGAAGATTGTCGAATGCATTAGGTCATTGATGCTTTGCACTCTGCCAGAATTAGTGTCGCATTGGTCAATGTAGGCAAGGTGCTGTGACAAAATGTAACATGACTCAGATGCAGTATTAATGGGTACACCAGAGTTAAGTCAATCGGCAGGTCACGTGCGGTGGATTAAAGTGTGGGTACTCCCACCTCCTCCGAGACATTTCACCAGCGTGAAAGAGTAGGCCAAACATTCCGTGCACAGGAGCTCTCTGTGGAGGCCCTCATCCGCTAGCAATGACCAAGAAATTGGACCCTCTATTTGGGCCCTGTCTGGTCCCCCCAGAGCTCATCTTACCTCTCATGTATTCCAGCAGTGAAGAGGCAGGCCAACCCTATGTTTTTATTTTCTATTTTACCAGGTAAGGACCACTGAGTTTTATAGCTATTTTTTAGAAGCAACCTGGCCACAAATGATAGCTCAATTAAGTGGCTTATCATGTATACATTTATAGCAGCCAAATGCTCTAAACGCGTGTTTATAAATATGAAGCGAAAAAACGGAGGACCTGGAGAAAAATCCACACGACCACGGTGAGAGACACATGCAAATTCCAAATATACAGGTATCAGGGTCGGGATCGAACCCGTGACCTCCTGTATACCGGGTGAGGTGAACATCTCGCCTCCACGGCGCCCACCTGGAGAGAAGATGCAGATGGCCATGAGCAGCACATGCTCCGCTTCATGGAGATTCAGCTTCTTGAGGCCAACCTGGAACTTCACCAGGGGCTCCATGAGCTCCATGGAGTGGCCTGCTGTGGGAAGCAGGAACGCATATCTATATTTGCTATTTGTGGTTAATTTGGTGTCCTTCCCCCGCACCTCCAATTAGTATGTTTGGCTACATACAGTGCGAAAGATCATCATCATTGTCGTCGTCACCACAAACATCATCATCATTGTCAGCCATGGTCAATCCACCTCCAGATGAAGGCCTCTCCAAGCCGTCACGAACAATCCCGCATAGCTGATTTCGTCGCTCCGTCTCTCCCTGGTGGACGTCCTCTCTGTTGCGTTTGGATTCCCCGGCCGCCGCTCCGTCTCACTAGTCTGGAGCGGTTAGCTAGCGACACGTCCTGCCAAGGGCCCACTTTACTCTTCTCCACAGTTTTCCTCCTCCACGCCATTTCAGGAGGCAAAATAAGAATCCATCCGACGGCCCCGGACGCCGTCGGATGGCGGTCCAATCATAATGCAACCGAACGGAAGAGAGAAGGGAGGTGTTCAATGCGTTTGTTTGCATCTACGGGTGCTACGTGGTGCACCGTAGAGGACAGTGCAAGCAAAAAAAATTCCACCACCCATTTCCAAAACCTCCACGTCTGTGCTCTGCCTTCCACCGGCTGGCGCTCACCAGCGTCAAGTACTGTCAAATAGCCCCCACGACCCGCACGGTGTACGTGGGCCCTCTCCCAGCAGTGGACTGAGAAGCAGGCCGTATGTGTGCACGATGTTTGCATGGTGGGAGGAAACTTGCGTGCCCATTAAAAGCCCGGTACTATGCGTACAAGGGAGACAGTACTCACCCTGGGTGACGTCCGTGATGCAGTACTTGAACTCGTTGCTGCCGCACGTCCAGGAGTTGTCCTCCAAGGAGAAGGACTGGTTGGAGCGCAAGATGATGATCTCGATCACACTCGACTTGAGCAGTGCGATCTGGTCTTCGGTGTGGAGTTCCCTGCAGTGCACAAACAGCAAACACGGCACGCAGCGATAACGATCAGCAGCGTCGGCAGCAGCAGCAGCAGCGATAATCATCAATCCACCTCTCTAAACTCCTGCCATGTCTGAAGGTAAAGACGGCGGTCACTGCGTCAAGTGTTTTCAGATGCGCTCCTGCGGCCGTCTGGAACGTTCAACCATCCAATATTAGGAAGCCATTGTAGCTACGCACTTTTACATCTAAATAGAAAACTAGCTTGTTGTCCTTCCCCCCCCCCCCACACACCTCTGCTTAGCACGGTTGGCTGCGTATAGTACGGTGAAACAAGTTCAACATACACATAGGTATGTATTGCGATGCAACAATCCGTTGGGCTCCTGTGCGCGCGCACGCCAATTCCGCCGTGCCATCGGACGCATTCCCCTCTTTGGCTATCCCTCCGCGGTTGGCCTCGACTCTCGGCCACCATCACGTCCGGCGCCGCATTCGGCTCAAGCACCGCTCAACTTTTCCGAGAAGCCAAGAACGACGCCTCTAACGTGGGCATCGTTCTCCAATTGACGTGTTACTCTCCTCCTGTCTCTGCGGTGTATTTCACATTGCACGCACCTCTCGAATCCACGCTTCTTTTAGAACGCGATTCAACTCGTTCAATTATTGTCTTTGTTCCCGTCCATGTTTCTAAATGTGCGAGTCGCAGCAGGTGACATGCACAGGTTAAAAAAGTGTTCCTCTACAGCCACGTTGGGACGTTGCTCTTCGTTCTCGAGTTCAGCGTTTTCAATCGACACTCCTCCAACACTCTCCTGTCCACCTCTTTATGTCATCAGTTTGATCGTCATCTACTATCTCCAGTGATCCCCGCCCTCGGTGTTCATACGTGAGATGTATTTTCGACAAACTTGTTGTACGTGACTTTTGTTTAGCTGGCAATAACTTTTTTTGTCAGCGATTTCCCCCGCCCCCCCCATCATCTGTATATATGTACGGTGATCTTCTTTCACACCGTACGTAGCCAACCATCCTCATTGGAGGTGCTGGAGGACAACACATTAAGGGACCATCCCAACCACACTACGCCATTTTTGTTTCCCTGGCAATAACTTTTTTCGTGTCAGCGAGTTTTTTTCCCATCATCTGTAGCCACCTCCTAAACGTAAGCTTTGCTGTCGTTGTCATTGCGATGAAGATTACTTTAAGGGGCGCGAAGTCAGCGGAGGGACCCGCAGCAGAGGGCAGAGAGGGACAACCAGTGGCAGAGAAGGCACTTGCATCACGCGCGAGCAATGACGTAGCGTGGTTGGCATGGTCCCTGGTGCAAAGAATACATTTGGCCCTCCCCTGTCCATGTGTGTAAAAATGCACGTTGATCTTCTTTCACTGTCCTAATCGGAGGTGCTGGAGAAGGACAACAAACTAAGGGGGAAGGACAACAAACTAGGACAACAAGGACAACACACCCCCCCCCCCCCACCCCGCTTCCTCGCTCCTCGTATATCCCGATGCCCGCACGTTAAGCTGCTATGCCACCACCGCCGCCACCGCGCGAGAGCTGACAGGCTGCGTACTTGAACTCGGGGATGATCTTGGCGAAGCCGATGACCTTCTGGATGCTGTAGCTGACGAGGTCGGCGAGGTGCGGCAGCATGGTCAAGGGCGGATTGGCCGTGACCTCGTCGCTCCCGTCGTCCGTGCACATGGGCAGGATGCTGAAGATGTTCCCCAAGCTCATGCCCACGCTCAGGGCAGCTGGGATCCACGGAGATGCCCCCACGCACGCACGAACAACACGGCGCCTGTCACACAAGTTACCCCACCCACTGACCCCACCCACTGACCCCACCCACTGACCCAACCCACTGACCCCACCCACTTACGCCACCCACTGACCCCACTCACTGACTCCACCCACTAACCCCACCCACTGACCGCACGCACTGACCCGACCCACTGACCCAACCCAATGATCCCACCCAATGACCCTATCCAATGACCCCACCCAATGACCCACCCACTGACCCCATCCACTGACCCCATCCACTGATCCCTGCTCTATCAGCGATTGACCGATTTGCTGGACTGACGAGAAGGGCCGTGTGACCTCGGTCAGTTGGTCGGTGGGTCGATCGGCGCGATGCGTACTCGAGCACGGCGAGCGGCTTACCGGGGTGGGGTTGGCGGTACGCGTGCGCCACTTACAGGTAGGGGACGAGCAGGTGGAGTTGCTTTTCTCGAGATGTAAGCCCATTGGTGACGAGCAGAACCCCTCCTCTGAGCTGTTGTCACTCTTGCGAACCGGCGGCTGCATGGGGGGGGGGGGGGGTAGGGGGGACACGCGGTGCATTGTACCGGAAGGAACGGTAAAGCCCCTTTTCCACTGCCGCAATCGAGCTGAGCCAGTGCTGGGTGACCCTCACGATTGCGGGTGGTTTTCCCCTACTTGCCCGTTTGCCATGGCCGAGCCGCAGCAGTAGACAGCTGAGTTTGAACTTCCACAAAGCTCATGCTCCACCTTAAACTGCATCCATTGCACAATCCATTACAGTCCATGCGGATACCTGATGCACAAATGTAAAATTAAAAACTCTCCAGTGTGCAGCTGTGCTCATCAAGAACATACTGTACAATGCATAATGACGAAATGCCCGATCCACAAGCACGAAGGAGACAACACAGCGATGCACTCTGCTGCTCCTAATGCAGTTGTCTGGCTTGACCACCTGAATGTGAAATCATAGCTGTCGCTCTGCATCTACACGAGCCGTACGAAAGAAGTAGAAGAAGTAGAAGAAGTAGAAGATCCCCTCTCACTCGGAATTCCGAGAAGTCGGAGTAGGTGTCGTCGTAAGTCTTGCGGTGACCCTCGATGAGATCCGTGATGAGATGGTCCTGCTCGTCGCTGAGCTGCAGCCGCACCCTCTCGCTGCCGTCACACTCCATTTTGCGCTTGAGCATCATCTCCTTCTTGCGTTGCATCTCCTCCTCCGTCATTATCACTGCCGACACACATGGTGGGGGACGGGTGGGAGGGGGGGGGGAGTTGGGCACGGAGGAACGTCAAGAGCGATGGTCGCACGTCCACATTCACGCCAACGCTGGTTTCCTCTCGACTGCTACCATCGCGGAAAAAAGCTTTTGTTGAGAGAGGCTTTAGAAGACCACGACCACGGCTGGGTCCTCTCTAAGGGTAGAGTTAGCTCTGTACGGGAGGCAAGGATGGATAACAGGATATCAGTTTGAGTTGTCGGATACCTCCACTCCAGGGCGTCACGGCACGGGTGGTTTTCCATTGCTGAGCCAGAACCAAATGGGTGAAACTCTGGCTTCACAGAACATCGTAATCTGGCTTGGGGCCCAGCAGGGCCAGGGGATAAACATTTTAATCACTGAGTGTGATGTCAGCGGCGGTGTAAAAACAAAGACATAGCACCTCCTGAGCCATGGCAGGCAGGCTCGATCGACACAGCTGGCTCAATCGGGATTGCTGGCTCGATCGGCATGCCTGGCTCGGTCGACACGGTCGGCTTAATCGACACGGCTGCCTCGATCAACAAGGCCCCAGCGTGGCTCAGGTAGGGAGCAGAGGTCGGTCCCTCTGGTTCCCTCGTAACAGGTCCCTCGCCTATCTGACCCAGGAGCCTGTGTGCAGGTGCACCACCTGGACCCTCGATTGCTTAGCTGCTGATTATCGGCATACATTGATTCACCCTCTCAGCGACTGGTTGAAACCATAATTCGGGGTGGATGTTCTATTTTTTTACGTCTCGTTTTATGCAGTCTCGTTTGTATTGTTTCTCATTTGTAGAGTTTTGTTCGCTCCTTTACCCTAAACGTAGTCAGCATGTGGCTTGTAAGCAATGCGGACAAATCTCAAATAACCGATTTCCTGCACGTACAATTTGTCGTGTGTATCGTGAGGCTGAAACTCAATCGACAAGTCAGATCCCCTCTTTGACCCTTGGCCTAGTTTCCCCCCTCCTTGTGGTCGCTCGCGTGCATACTCCCTTCTGTAGTCTGTGTGCTGTTCTCCCACCCGTAATTAGCCCTTACGGCCGCCAGTTGTCTCTACACTTCGGAGAATTTGTTAATCTGTAACAGTCGGATATCTGTCTGCAGCTCAAATCCTGTTGTGTAGTGGTTTTGATGCTCGCATGCGCTTGCTCTCTATCTCACTCTATCCATTGTGCATTCCCTCCCCAACTTCATATACTCATTGCTGGTGTCGGAATTCGATGCAAACACATAACCCAAACGTTTTTGTCACCCCTACCATAAATTTCGACGATTTCCAAATCATTCGTTTTGGTTGGTACAAGACGGCGAATCAACTACGCAAGCAATTTGAAGAATTGGATGCAACTGGAAGGAGTACGTGATGCAAAGTTCTCGAGTCAATTTCAGGGACACAGCTAAAAGGAAGGATGGAAGGAAGGCCATGATCGTTGGCGTCGTCATTGTGTCTACAACCAAATCACATGGAAGTGTCCCCAATCTCATCAGATCTCAAAAAGCTAAGCAAAGTTGAGCCTGGAGAGTGCTTGGTGGGGTGATCACCACCGTGCTTGTGAGCATATGTGTGGGTGTGTGGGGAGCGGTGGTGTAGCGGTTATCGCGCTGCACTACGAATCTGGCGACCCGTTTTCGATTCCCGCTCACGGCCAATACCCAGTGAAGATTATCTGAACCGGTCCTGGGCCTCTCCTAGGTCGACTCAGCCTCAAATGAGTACCTGGTGCAGTGTGTAAACATCGCCACTGGGGAGACAAAGGTGGCCGGCTGTGGTGCTCGCCACCCACCCCCTCGTGTGCTATGCCGACACTTGCCCCAACAGTCTGTTACAGGCTATATGGGGGATCTTTGCTCTTTGTCTTTGAGTGGGTCAGTGGGAGGGTGTTGCGGTTGTATGGGTGTTATGGTTGGGTGGTTAGGTGGATGTGTGGATACGTGGATGGTTGTGTAGTGACATAGAATGGGTCACTACGGCACGTAGCGCTGGTTACTGGTAGAGAGCGGGATCGTGAGTGTAATAGCCCGGTCTACCAGCAGGGCAGGTGAAGAGTGCCACTGGCGCGCGTAGCGCCGGTTGCTGGCAGAGAAGGGGCATTTGAGGTTACAGCAGCCGGTCTGCCAGTAGGGCATGTGATAGGCCAGGGTAACGGATCTAGGGTAAAGGTGACAGAGGGGAGACGTGGGGCAGAGCCCAGAACCTTCTGGTAGATTCCAGAAGGGGGCGTGGCCGAGGGCAGAGACAGGCCACGCTGAGGAGGATAAAAGGGAGTGTGTGGTGCCACGACAGCGAAGCCGCTCCGTGGTGGCCGTGCCTGCGGCGGGGGTGCTGCAGCAGAGAAGCCACCTGGCTTCCGTCACAGCGCTTCCCCCACCACCCCCCACATGAACACACACACGCACTCACGTAGGGCCCCGTGGGGGGGGTCACCTGCCTCGGAGTTTTTACCCGAGGGCCCCCCTCGTGGGGGTGCTCCACGGTTTCTCAGGGCCAGGGAATTGGCAGGCCCCCCCCCCCCCACCAGGCCGAATGACACTGCGGCGCCGTGGATTAACTTAAAATTGTATGGCCACGGCGAACTCACTGAGAACCGCGTTGAGGAAACACCCAAGGCACACGCGGACCACCAGGCAGGTGGGGAGCGGGGCGGCACAGGATGCCCTTTACTATGTCCAAGGAACACGCGGATCGGCAGGCAGGTGGAGGGCGGGGCGGCACAGGCTCACCTTTAGTATGTCGTGCACTCGGTGAAACAATAGAGGGCGGGCGTCGGAGAAGGGGGCTGATCTGATTGGCAGAGAGCGGGAAATCCGAGGCTCCTGATTGGATGGGAGGCCAGCGGATCGGCGGCGCGTGGGCTTTGAAGTAGAGGGATAAAAAGGGACGAAATTGAGAAGCAAGCTCTCTTTTGCCCCGGGTCTTTTGGAGTGAGGGGCAGAGGAGTGATCGTCCCCTGCTACTCGAACGTCCGTGAGACGGGTCGCAGAGCAGCCAGATCCAGTTCCCAGCAAAAGCCGCGTGCAGCCTCGTCTTTCCGCGACTTCCAACACCACGAGGTCGGATCGTAAGTACGAAGAGGAGAGGTAAGGCAAAGGGGAATATCTAATAGAGAGAGTGAGTCGGGAGAGGTCAGGCTAATCGAGTCTTAGACCATAGAGAGATAAGTTAGTTCTGCCCTGCTGGTCCACACTGACACAGATAGGTTGGCTTCATTAATCGAGGAATAAATTGCCAGTAGACATTGTGCTGTCTCTGTGAGTACGGAGGGGGGGTGCCTGGTGTTGTGAGCCCGTGCGTTGTGGTGTCCCGTGTATTCTGCCCACGTGGGTACTCTCCCCGCCGCGCAGCTCGTGGTTGGCGTGTACGAGAAGGGCACCGCGGTGTATTGGCGAGGTGGTTAGTGCAGCTATTTAAATCATGCCACGAGGAGCAGTAGCGAGGGGGAGGGGAGAAGAGGAGAGCGGGGAGGGACACAGGAGAACGGGGAGTCGAGGGGCAGCAGCCCTAACAAAGCCCCGACGCTGGGTCGGGGTTGCTGCGGTTTGAGAATGGAGCCCGTCGTCTATGAAGCCTTCCTCCTCGTCAGTGTTGGATCGGGCAGTGTGCCAGCTGTCCAGACCCGTATATAGTTATCCCCTGTACTGTGGAACGTGTAGAATAATTATATATATATGCCTCCTACGACTAGTGTGTCTCTGAAGTGACCACTACAGCTGTGTTGGTGAGTGGGTCGCTGGGTGTTTCTTGCTGGTGGGCGGATGGGTGGGTGTGTGGATGAGTATGTGGCTGTGTGGGGGTACGTGTATGGATGTGTGGGTGAGTGGGTCGGTGTGTGGGTGTTGTGGGTGGGCGGGTGGGCGGGTGGATTCGTCGGTGGATCCGGGTGGCGGTACGCACGCTCCTTCATCATGCCGATCTCCGTGCAGCGTTTGAGCCGGCATGCTTGGCAGTGACGTCGGTTGTCCTTGGTGATGGTGCAGTGGCCACCCAGTGGGCAGGTGTAGGTTGCATCACGCTTCATGCTCCTCCTACCCGCGCACAACGACGGCAGGGAGTCACTCAACAGTCGGGACACCTCGTAACTTAACTGGTTGATCAAATATCAGCTTGATTACCCAATTATTAGGTTCGCACAAAATAGTTGAGGGGGGGGGGCAAGAAAAAAATCCCAGTGTGCTACTGTACGGGCGATGATGGGTGGGGGCTCGTGACATCTTTAGCGGCATCGCGCTGGGTGTGGCTTGTAGAGGGTTGCCAGCCTTCAGGAGGCAGGATGTGGGAGCGACATCCAATTTTAAAGGGGCCCGGGTAATTGACCACAATTCGAATTCGATTAATCGATGCAGTCGACCGATCGTCGCTGCCCCATATTGAATGGGGTGGGTCGGGTGTTTGCAGGAGAAGACAAGTGGATAAACCTTAGCCGGGTCTGTCCGGGTCAATGACCACATCCATTTCCCAAATTAGCGCGGTGGTCTATGCACGGTGCGATCGAAGTTCAACATACATAGATCCATTATACCCTTGCCGTCGCTATGGCTGCGGCTTCCGGTTGTGCCAGTGACCCGAAAAAAATATTGAGTAAGACATTAACGCGTGGGAAAAGGTCAACTACAACCCAGTGCTAGTCCTGGGAGCAGAGCGGTGGCGTGGCGTGGCTGGCGTCGGCCGTGGTGCAAGGAATTAAGTTAGGCCGCTGTATCCAATATCCCGTACCCCCCCCCCCCCCACCTCTTCATCGTACAGTGTTTTGGCCCCCTCCCGGCTGTGAGGCCCGGTGCAGTTGCACCGCCTGCATACCAGAGAGCTGTGCCACTGTGCGGCATGTGAGCACTCCGGCACCGCCTGCGACGCACCCACTCGCGTACGTGAGGTCTCGCAAGGTAAGCAGGATTTTCCCAGCCTGGACAGCTCTTTGATAAGCGACCACCATTCAAGATCCACCACCATCACCACCTCCCAACTCACGGTCTCGCGATGCTACAGTCACGTTAAATTGATTGTAGTTCATATTTCACAACGACGAAATGCAATTGATTAGATTTTCGCAGTCCATCCAAACGTTTTTCTCGACCAATTTGCTCGTACGAAATGCGCTTATTTGACCCCCAGAGTGGGTAGGCGACACCGTAAGTGCGATTATACCCACGTAGACACGTCCTCCACCACAGCCTTCAAGGTAGGGGCTGGGCTATGCAGTACGATGTGACTCAAAAACTGCGAGAATTATGGGGAAAGTAGGACTGTGTGTAAGCGGTGGGTCGAAGAGACAATTTGAGGTCATGAAGAAGTACGGAAATAAACGGGGATCTCTGATGCTGTCCTTATAGTACAGGACATGAAGTGAGAATGGAGGAGGAATGAGGAGAGATGAGAGTCAACGTTAACTCTGGGGTGAAGACCTTGAGAAGGCAAAAGAAGCAGATGACGACGGCGAGAGATGAGAGCGAGACGACGTCATGGACATGACGTTGACTCCTTCCACGTTTCAAGTTTATTTCGCTTAAAACAGAGTCCAGGATGAGTCACATTTGCGAGCCTTGATCTGCCAGTAGGGGAGAGGGAGGTGTGGGAAATGATTGCTGTGTAGAATACCACCTGAGTAATTTGGACAGGAGCAATAAAGGAAGGAAGGGGGAAAGATGGGAGTGGCCTCTCCTCAGCAGTGGGAAGTTACAGGCTGATGATGGCCACAACAAAAACAACAGCAGCAGCCGCCACTGTGAGACAAGAATGGGTTATTTTACTTCTGAATTAACATTCATCATGGGGCTGGAGCGGTGTTAGTCGTGCTGTACTAAGTATCCGGGCGAGCTGAGTTTGATTCCCAGCTGTGGCTGCTAACGTCAGTGGCGATCGTCGTCCAAAACGAACCTGGGCCACCTACCCCACCAACGCCCTTCTTTTCAGCCTCCCCCACCCCCGCCCCACTGACCAGCGTGGTGAAGTATGGTCAAACAACCCCCGTGACTGACCTTGCCCGGTAGATGGCTTCACCAAGAAATGGATTGACGAATGGGTTGTACAGAACAACTAAGAGAACAACAATCTGTTGCCAACTTGACAACGCGTCTGTTCTGCCGCTACGCTAATAATACAAAAGGTCCACGCGGACTATTTTCACGTGTTGGTAGCACCTAAGTTGGAGGGGGAAAAAACAACTTTCGCGTAGCCGAGATCTTTTAATCACCACTGAAATACGAATTACGCAACGTCCACCTTGGTTGAATAAGTAAGTTATCACTTAATCCACTATTGCGAGCGATGGGGAGAGTAACTGATAGCCCTACACATTTGCCAATGCCCGTGATGGCCGCTAATTAATTATCACAAGCAACACGTCGCGAGTGATTCACTCGTTCGTCAATCACAACCACTGCACAGACGATCTCAAATTAGTAGCGGGGAGCGGGGGGGGGGGGGGGGGCGCGCAATTTTCTATTTTTTGTGGATTGTTAATTCACTTATTCATATATGTGCGGAGCGGAAAGTGGACGGTGAGATTTCTGGGGTTTTAACCCTATTTTTTTCACAATGCTGTTAGACTGGCTGTGCAGTTGGGATTAATTATACACTGTGTAACAACAACAACAAAAAATTGTCCCTGGGTACTAAGTGTTATTTTCCAATTGCTTATGCCTCAAAAGTACAGAAAATGGCTATTATTATCCCCACAAACTTTGCTTTTGTGACCAGGACAGTGATATTTTGAAATGTAGCTATTGTCAATGATGAAACGTGGTGTGCATTTGTGGCATTCCTTCACGTAAAGAATCCTGGTCACAAGAGCAAAGTTGGTTTGGAATCATAGCCATTTTCTGTACTTTTGAGGTACAGTATAAGCAATTAGAAAATAACACTTACTACCCAGGAACAAAAATTGTGTTACATCGTGTTATATTATCGACGTAAGACATTACCGACCACCCGCGTACAAGGTCCACCGAGCCGTAACAATCACGTGTTTTTGTGCCCTGTATCCCTCTAAGCCCTTGAACAGCTTCATGAACTTTAAATGCAGTTGCTGTGAGGGCTGCAACGATCAGATAATCGGCTCGAGATGTTTCGTGCTGGCCCCAAGTCCGGCAAAACCGTGGGTGATGGAAACGCAAAAAAATATATATAACCAGCCGACGCTCTTTTAACACGGCAGCAACTTCACGACGTTCGTCAAACATTCGTGAAAAGGAAGACGCCGCCAGCCATCCCTCTCGCTGTACCCGACCGCGTCGCTCTGCTGCGCGCATTCTCGGCCGCGGGATGTCTGACCCAAAGTTATATATATATTTTTTAAAAACATCGTTGACTAATAGACGTTGTAAGAAATCGCTCGCTCACTCGCGCACTCACTCCTTCAATCTGTGCTGCTGCTGCTGCCGCATTGGCGGTGTTGCACGAGTACAATGAACAAAACAAACAACAACAACAACAACAAAGCTCAATACATCCGTCAACCACAACAGTGCCCATAGAAGAGATAAATAATGCACAACACGAGACCCGTCGGGCAAAGGTCGCACCTCACACACGTCCTCCTGTGACGAAGGACCAACGTCTGAAACGTCGCTTGTTGTCCTTGACTAATGTTTTGACGGCTTGTGTTCTATTTACACGTGTAAATATATATCTCTCTCCATTAAAAGCCAACAGCAGCACCAACGAGATGGGGAGGGGAAAATGCAGCACGAATAACAACATCTTGTGGGAGGGGTGATGCCTCAGTCGAGTTGTCCGTGTGAGCGTGGTGCGAGGCATCCCGTCGTCTCGGTGCCGTGAGTCACCGCCATCGGCCCCCTCCCGGCGTTCCCGTGGAGACGCCGAGCCTCGTCCAGGTCACGGTGCCGCGTTGGCGCTCCAAAGCGGCACCGTGAGCGTCGTCCGCCCACTCCTGATGCATCCCCCCACCCCCCCCACCAGCGCTGTTGTCGGCACACGCGACTCGGGTGCCAACGATGAAAATTGACGGCGGCGCGCGTGGTGTTTCGCGCGCGTCGTCGATTCAGAGGGTTGAACCGAAACCGAAAAGCAGAACGGAAAAACCGGTTACAACCATTAATTTCCCAGAGCGCAAAGAGAGAGAGAGAAAAAAAGGAAAACTGAATCGGATATATATTGTTTATGCTCCAAAATGATAAACGCTATCCACTGCTGGATGAAGGTCGCTCCGGATACGTTTGAAAGTAACAATTTATTCCGCACCTGCACATCAGCTGATATCATCGCTCCATCTCCCCGGTTGTACTCTTGGTGGACATGCAAAATTCACATCCTTGCGTTTGGTTTCGTCTATTTGTCTCTCTCATGGGTGTTTTTTTTGTCAAATAGCCCGACTTGCTGTCCACAATTACCTGTCTAACTCGAAGCAGGTTGGTTTTTCTTCCATTCTAGTTTTTGCTCGACCTCACTGCAGCCTTTGGCACAATTGATCATCCCACTCTCATTTCTACCCTTTCTTCTCTTGGCATATCGGGCAACGGCTCTTTCTTGGGTCCAGTCCTATCTTTCTTTCCTCGCGCACTTCAGCTGTCTCAACCACGTTACCTCTACCCCTTGACCCGTCACTGTCGGTGTCCCCCAAGGTTCTGTCTTCGGCCCCCCTTCTTCTCTCTCTCTCTCTTTATATACCTCCACTTGATTCCCTTCTCTCATCGTTCAATCTCCCACATCATTTATTTGCTGATGACACCCACATGTGTCTCGCTTTCTCCTCCTTCACTGTGGACCTTGCTCTGCACATTGACTCGTGTCTCATCGCCATCCAGGCTTGGGATGACCCACCACTTTCTCTCCATCAACACTTCAAAAACAGAAATCCTCTTCTTCCCAGTTTCACGTTCTCTCCCTCTCTGTCCCACTATCCCATTTCTCCCACTTTCTCTTACTCCGGTAGAGTCTGTCCACAACCTCGGTGTAACTTTCGACTCATAACTCTCCCTATTTAACCATATAAACGCCACTACTCATTCCTGCCGTATTCACCTCTACAACATTCGTAAAATGCGCCGTGTCATCACAATCACTGCCACCAAACTCCTTATTCACTCCCTCATCTTTACTCGACTCGACTATTGCAATTTTCTAACTATCGGTTTACCATCATACGCGTTCAAACCACGCCAACAAATTTTAAACGCCTCTGCCCGTATAATCTTTAATCTCCCCTTCCATTCTCACACATCACCCCTCCTCATTCAGCTACACTGCCTTCCTGTTTATTATCGTTGCCTCTTTAAATTCCTTACCTTATATTCTGGGTTCTTTCGGTAGAGTCACGTAGAAGGGAAACAATAAAATAATAAAAATAGAAAACAATAAAATCCTCACGACGTTTCGACTGCAACACAAGCAATCATCATCAGGTGTGAAAACCACACCTGATGATGATTGCTCGTGTGAAAACCACACCTGATGATGATTGCTTGTGTTGCAGTCGAAACGTCGTGAGAATTTTATTGTTTTATATTTTTATTATTTTATTGTTTTCCTTCTACGTGACTTTACCGAAAGAACCGAGAATATGAATCCCTGCAGTCACGAAAGCTTTAAATTAAAAAATGTCCTTACCTTAGTTTATAAATGTCTCTACTTCCTGGCTCCTCCTTTAGCTCTCTTCACTCATCTCACTGAACGTTCCTGCCCGCTCTCTGGGTTCTAGATCTTTGCCGTCTCTTTCTGTTCCTCCTTCCCCATGAGCGCAGTCTCGGTTTCTCTCATTCTCTCTCCTAGCCTATCTTCACTGGAATCAACTGCCCTTACGCGTCAAACAATTACCCCCTTTCACTACCTTCCACTCTTCTCTTATAAACCCACTTATTCTCTCTTGCCCACCCTTCTCCCCTTGTCGTCCTCCCCACTCGTACTAACGCCGCCTTCCCAGTGCCCAACTCCCCACGGTCACCCATCATCAATCCACCCATCTCATTTCCATCTTCGCTGATTCCACGCTTTGCCACCACCACCTAATTTTACACAAATCCCGTCCACTCACCTCGTTTCATCTCGCCAACCATCTTGTTCCATAGTTAGTTTACTGTACAGCGCATTGGTTTAGGCGCTCTAAAAATGTATGATAAGATAAGACAGTTTAGGGCCCAATTAATACAGGGTTTTTAGACTAACCCTACAGCCTGGGAGGGGTTCTGACAAAAACATTGCGAGTTGAAACGTCTTTACAACGATTAAAATGCAATGCTGTAGCCCTGTGATACATCCTGTAAGCATCTATGATCTGAATTCTGTTCCGTGTTTCCACACGTAAATCGATTATTTAGTTCAACAGCCAATTGGCTTTCCAGACCAATACTATCCGGCACTCAGTACATATGTCAACGTTGGCACGTGGTTGGAATCGATTGGCCCAACGTTTCCCCCAACGTTGCACGTTTACTGGGGACGCTTGCGCACGATAAACCATGTCAGTGATTTGGTCATTAAAGCATCACGATGTCGTATTGCTGCCAGTTATGCGGCGAAGTGGAACTCGTTTGGTCCAACTCAGCCGCGTAGGACTTCACAGCGAATGTTACGATTCGTCGGACTGAGTCATAGTTTCGTCCGATGTGGCTTTGGGGTTGTTTTTTTACCGACAATTCGTGTATCACATGATTACAAAGGTGGAAGTTAAATAACCGAGGTGAAGAACAATGGAATAGTTGGCATAGGGCACGTGGGCCGGTGGTAAAACTGTGAAGGGAAGCAATTGAATAAACAATGAGGCCTCTCCTCCGCCCCCCCCCACCAAACTTAATCTGACCGTGCGTGCGTACAACGTGCGTACAACCGCTGAGGATGGGATTCGTTAACACAACCGGAGAAACATTTACACGTTTGCTTGGATGATTTCAAATTGCTTTTGGGCGCTGCCAACTGCCGCTGCCGATGCTGTGGCGGGGTGAACAACGGAAGCCGACAGCCCAGAGTGAAATGACAATTGCCCTGTAGGATTTCAGTGGTGCTCAAGGTTTCTTTGATTAAGAAGGCTGTGTGAGAACAAAGAACGGATGATACTCTTCAATGAGATCTAATGGCCTTACTTTATGAGCGCGTGTGTTTTGTTACCGACATACTTTTTTTTCTTATCAAATGGAAACTTAAGGAAGCCTTAGGGTGGAAGTGTTACGTAGCAACAAAGGATAGGTCTCTTCCAGCCCACAGTACCCGACGAAGCCTCCCCCTTGCATGGTCCCACCCACCTCCAACGAGCGAGACAGCTCGTCAGCAATGGCTTGCAGTAGCAGATCCAGGGACAGTGGACGAAATTCCACGTTCCTATGGCAAGCATTGCTGACTCGCATCAAAGTTATAGGCGAATACTTTTTTTTAATCGACCCCCATCGATATAAAGTGTGAAGTAGATACTTACCCCCCCCCCCCCACATTATTTGAACTCATTGTGCCGAGCACTCTGACCGCAGATCTACCTGGCCAAAAGCATTAGCAAACTGCAGCGTGTGTACAATACTTTGGCGCGTGTCGTGGCTGTTACTGCAAGATCCGACCATATCAGCCCAGTGCTCGCTGAGCTGCTTTGGCTTCTAATTTTCCGAACAAATGCATTATAAGGTCGCACTCATTACACACAAAGTGTTTGTTTGCGAATGAACCACAAGGAGTATACATAAGCCGTCATCGCAGCGGCGGCTTTTGGTTAACCATGGAACAAAAACGGCCACCGCGTCTCGTGCGTTTTAGATGCGCTTCAGCGGCCGTCTGGAACGTTCTTCCTTCCGAAATTAGGAAGCCACTTGGAGCTATGCGCTTTTAAATCTATACTGAAAACGCATTTCTTTAGAACTGCTTTTTGCTCTGTTTAGTTTCTCCCCCCCCCCCCCTCCCCTCCAATTAGCACGGTTGTCTACGTACGGTGTGAAAGAAGTTCAACATTCGGTACACACATACATAACAGACACACCGACTCGCCGCAGTCAGACAGCCTGTACACGGACGTAGTGTGGCTGCTGCTGCTGCTGCTGCTGTCGTGCGTCCTCACCTGAAGAAGCCCTTGCAGCCCTCGCAGGTCATCGCGTTGAAGTGGTAGCCCGTGGCGTGGTCGCCGCACACGCCGCACACGCGCACGCCCCCCCTGCTCAAGTCCTGCATGTGCGCGTCGACGCAGAACGCGCTGCTGCTGCTGCTGTTGTTGTTGTTGTTGACGGGGCTGTCCATGCGTACGTCCGTCATGCCTCCCCCTCCCACCGGCGGCGCCTGTCGGGGAGAGGCGCGCGCGCACGCACGCACGTGCTACACAAGGCGACATTGTTCTAAGTTACTGGTGGTGGTGGTGGTCGCGGCGAAATGAAACAGCGCACGTAGAAACCAGGAGGCGCGCCGTGTGTGTGTGTGTGTGGTGGGGTTTTTCTTCTCGGAAAGAAACGCGTGCACCCATCTTTGTCGACCCGCGAGCCCAAGGGGGGTCGGCAACCTGCGGCTCTTTAAGGACTGGCTCCGTGACGTCGTTTATTGAGGACCGCCACCATCGTCGTCTCGCATTCACCACGAGCATTGCGGATTTTTTACGGAATCCCCCCCCCCCCCCAAAAAAAAAAATGTCTCTTCTTGTTTTTTTGGTTGCCGACCATTGTGCCAGCCGCAGTTCCTTCCATGCCATCCAACTCCCCCCCCCCCCCTCCTCACCCCCCCCCCCCCGAACGAATACATTACAAGGTCGCACTCATTACACACAGTCATTGCCACTAATGAACAACAGCACCATGTCAATCTCGTCAAGGGGCATGAACCATCACGCGAACTCCGGTGGTCATCCTCGCAGCAGCAGCGGCTTTTGGCGAACCATCGGACAAAGACGGCGGTCACCGCATCGCGCGGCGCTTTCAGGTGCGCTTCTACGGCCGTCTGGAACGCTCTTCCTTCCGATATTAGGAAGCCACTGGAGCTATGCACTTTTAAATAATCTAGATTGAAAACGCATTTCTTGAGAACTGCTTTTTTGTGTTTAGTCTGTTGTCCTTCTGCCGCAACTCCGATTAGCACGGTTGACTACGTACGGTGCGAAAGAAGTTCAGCATAATCCCCTCTTCACGCTCACAGCCACCACGTGGTACACGGGGCTTCTTGAACCGTGACCACGTGGCTTCCCCCGTGCCTGCCTCAGCCATTGTGTGCAGATTAGCATCATTGCAGTGGCGTGGTCACGTTTCGAATCTGCTGTAAAGTTCGTCCGCGGGTACCCCAGCAGCAGTCAATGCCGAGGTGTGGAATACTTCGTGGGAGGTTGCTCATTCCCCTCTGCTGCTCCTATCGTCTGGAACTACCTCCAACTCCCCCAGCCATGCGTGCTGCCGACTCCCTTCCCCCAAGCCCACGATCTCCCTTCATTGCCTACGACTGTCTGCCTCTCGTCCAAGTGTATGGCCACTGTTCATTTACAGAGTCTTGCGACGCAGTCGCATTTAGACGCTATACAAATCCAACTGCTGTCGTATTGTATTCTGTTATTTCACATTCATTGAAATTGCATCGCATAATCACGCCCCTGTGAGCACTCTCTCTAAGTGGTAGATGTTGTTTCTCGTACTGTCGCTTCGGAGTGTACGTCGAACAGAAGAGGCACTCGCGTGCGGCTTTGTCTGACTCCTCTTTTCACAATCTCCACATTTAGAGTACCCACCTGCTAACCTTACCACTGTTAAAAACGAAGCTAAACTTTTATTTCACTATGTAAGGCCCACTGAGCTGCACAACTCTTTTTCAGAAGCGACCTGGTCACAAATGATTGCTCAATGAAGTGGTTTATCACGTGGAAAATTTTGAGCAGCCAAATACTCTAAATGCTTGTTTCTAAATCTGGAGGGAAAACCCAGAGGACCCGGAGAAAAATCCAGCACGGGGAGAGAGACACGAAAACTCCAAATAAACAGGCATCAGAGTCGGGATCGAATACACGACCTCCTGCATACCAGGCGAGGCAACTAACATCTCGCCACCGTGGCGCCCGGCCTTGACCAGAGACAAAGACACCCACAGAAGGAGGGGGGGGGGAGCGATATCACAAAAAGTCTGCCAATGAAGAGAACCCAAGACAACAACAACAGTAATGGACACATCCCCGGTGCACATTGCGACGCGGTCAGGCCTCTAAAAGTGGAAGCGTTCCGAGGTGTGCACTCTCTTGAATCACATTCTGATAAGCGGAGTGCTGTCTAACAAATGAATCGATTGGCGGTGACCCGGGTCACCATCGTGACCCGGGGGTGCCAAAACCTCCATAACTCCGAAACCAGAAGGCCTATGAAAACGGGAGATGTCACCGCGCCCGATACGCACGCCAAATATGGAAATAAAAAACAAACGCAAAACACCCATAAAAAGGGGGGCTGCTGGGGATTTGTGCGTGGCAACGGTTGTTTATTGCTTGTTTTGAAAGTACATCAGGATGCTGGTCTGGTCATTCCCCAGCACGTTCTGCTTCTTACGGGGGTGGCCACCCCCCTTGTCTTTGGGAGCGAGACCACTTGGAGGCAATGGCGCATCAGGCGCTCTCTTGGTACGGCCGACGGTCATGGTTGTGCTGGCGGGATCGACATCGTCATCATCATCGCTCCCAGCGTCGCCCTCCGGCAGGACAGGGTAGTACCAGCGATGCTCCCAGAAAAAAACCTTAAACTATGCCCGGCCCACCAATATTTTGCGGTGACTCGGGCTACCGCCAATCGATTCAAATGGAGAAAGAGCGTACGCATTCCAATGTTCAAACGACAGCGGGTGTACAGGAATGCGCCAGCTATTGGCCAATGCATCCTTACAAAATCGTGATAGAAAATAGTGTCAAAATATCGTAGAGAGGGAGTGCTGGAGATCAGCAAAAAATCAGTTTGCCTTATTTTCTGGGAAAACCAACAACAGATGCAAGATTTCGTGGAAAAATGATGCAAAAGAGAAATCGATGACAAAACGGCGAGATTTAAATGTGATATTTATTGGTTTAGAGAAGGCGTGCGTTCGGGTGTCAAGTGGACTGTCGTGGTGGACTCTTGGGGACAGGAATGCTGCAGAAAGTATCTGTCAGAATTATCCAGGACACGTACAGAGACAGTGCCGCGCGAGTAGCGGGTGTTTCTGGGTACGCGAGTGCAAATCTACGTCGGAAGGGGGAATTTTATTTTTATTTGAACTTAAACCAATCTAATAAATTAGCAAACAAAAATGAAGGCAGTCGTGTTTCAGTTTCAGTTTATTTATTTTGGTATAGCCCTGTGAGCCATTCGGCTCTTGAATCGGGTGCAACTACAACAAAAAAACAAAAACACGAACAAGAAAACATCTTAAAGTGACTTTGTGTTGACTGTGCAAACAGAAAATCCATGGAAAAAAAACAGCAAAATATTCCTGAAAAAAGCACCGTACACCAACGCTGTGTGCCAACAAATCCCAGTGGGATGCAAGTCAAACAACAACAACCACAAGAAAACTTAGATTATCAAAATTATAGCGTGAATACACAATCGATACTTTTTGTTCAAAATGAAATGCTGCCGGGTGTAACCCACGACCTTTGTAATCCAAAGGTTGTCGGTTTGAGTCAACCTCTGAGCGCGGCAGTTGTACAACCCGCAACCCTCCTTCCACCGCCACCGCCTTCGCCTCTGGCCACCGAGCGGTCTAAACGAAAGGGTAGACCAGGGCTAGCCGAACGGCAGGTCGCATCATGTGGTGTGGGTGAAGTGTATGGATGGACCACTCCCACCTCTACGAAGACGTCTGACCAGCGTGTAAAAAGATGCCAAAAATGACCCCTCTTTAGAGGGACTCTCAGGGTACTTCCTTAAGCAGAAGTTCTCTGAGAGCACAAACGGGGGGGGGGGGGGGGTACAAACGGGGGGGGGGGGCGGCTCGATCACACAGCGGCCCCAGCCAGGGCGATGCTCGCGTCTGGGTGTGTGCGCAGACGAAGTCGTTTACGGGTGGGGGCAGCCTAAGGCCTCGCGAGCCGAGCACGGCACCACTACTTCACGTCGTGCGCGGCCCGCGGCCTCGATCCGAGTCGCCCCTCATGGCTACCCGAGAGGCCTGCCAGACTCCACGTATTAGGCCGTCACTGGGAGCATCGGTAGCGATCCGCCCGGTGAAACTAAATACATTTTTTGGTCACGTATTTTTTTGGGGGCCCAGGTCAAAGGTCACACGTCAAACAAAAGAGCTCGATATCCATACCACAGTTGCGCCGGTTCTTTACGACCAGCGGCGACATGAGCGAACAGCTGCAGCGTGCTCGTCTTATCGTGTCTTCAGCCATCCTCGAGGGTTTGCTGCACTATGGGCAATCCTTCACCACTGACTTCGGTCTTCTGCTATCCACACTGTCTATTCCAGCGTGAGCCTCCTCCATGCTTTGACGTTATCTAACCACGTCATCGTCGCTCTTCCTCGCACACGTGAACCGGGTATTGTACCTTAAACAATCCGCTTTTCCAAACAAGTTCCGTTTTTTTATCGTGACATGACCACAGTAGACTAGCTTTCTTAATTTTACCACTTGTGACAGTTTCCTTTCAAATTCAGCTTCCTCCAGAACCCATTCATATGTTTTATTTTCAGTCCACGCAGTAATATCTGCCCTAGTCCTTTCATTTCAAAGTCGTTTATTCGTGCCTCCTAGTTCCTCTCGATTGTCTAACTTTCACAACCCTATGTAACAACTGGCACACAAGGGCATGCAGAATGGGGATGCTGAATCACAGCATCCCCATTCGTTCAAATGGGGATGCTGTGATTCAATCGCCTGACCCTTACACTGTTTAGCACGAATTTCTTTTGAACACTTAGCATCTCCAGTGATGACTGATCCAAGATATGGAAAGGTGTGAACTGCCCAACACTTTGGTCTTATCCACATTGATGAGGAAGTTCAACTTGCGACTAAACCGATCTAAGCGATCTGTCAACTCCTGCAGCTCCACCTCGGAACCGGCAAGCAAAATTATTTCTTCGGCATACCAAAGATTTGCGCTCGTGGCCATCCGATCTGGATTCCTCCATCACCACCAAATGTGCCTCTCATTACCTTTCTATATACAGGTTAAAAAAATAAAAGAAATTCAACTTTTTTTCGCGGGTCAATTTTGGGTCCTGTAAAAATGTCCCATTGTTTTTTTTTTACCAACCTCTCAAATTAAACCCTGAATTCAATTACAGTCGATCATCGATTATCCGACACCGCGCGATTATCTGGCTGCTGCTTCCAACAT